CAACTCCCGACGGCAGTTCATTGAGTCGCTCCTCCGTTTCTCGCAAGAAAGTGCACGCATACCAGAGCGAACGGCGGCGGCAACGAGTGCATGTGCTACCGACCGCGTTGCGGTCTCGGTTGCACGTAAACTTTTGCGCGTTTATGCGTGCATGCTGACATTGTGTATGAATGAAAGAGCGACGGACTAAGGAAGAAGCCGGAGGGAACCGCGTGATGAGTTCACCTGTGTGTATACGTGTACTACGGGTGAACGAAAAACATACTCACAATCAATCGCGAGTAAGTACACGAATATGTAAACGTGGCTATTCAGTACACATGTATATACCTTTATATATAAACGCAATTCGATCCTTACTTGCTTTCTTCTCATGTGGGTATGGATTGAGAAAGATATATGTTATAGGTACAGACATAATGTCGAAAATTTTCCCCTGCACTATATTTTCTCTTATCAATATTTTATTCTCTCATAGTTTTGTAGATAGTGCAGAAAATAAAATTGAGAATTCTTTTTCCAATTTTGATTACGACACAAGTTTCAATTGCAAAACTAATATAACGTTTCAGTAAATCATAGTTTATTTTCCCATTTTCCCTATCCGATAAATAATATCGATACATTATCGATTTGAGCATCTGTAGACGTTGAGAAACAAGATGGGCGTGACAAAGAAAAAAGATGCAACCCACGTGGAATAAAGTAAGAAAGAAAAACGGGGGCATGGGGGACGACCGAGGCCGGAAGTGGTTTCATCTGGCTCCCCCGTTGGTCTGACCTGTTGAACCACCTCGTGACCGGAAGTACACTGTACAGCTACGGACACCGTGGCGGTACCTCTACTCTCCTTCATTCCCAGTCCTTCACCCGATACACGATGTGGAGAAGAAAACAACAAAGGCTTCTTTCTGCGTACCGACAACTTATCACCACATTGTTTACCTGATTACACAACTGTGATTTTTTTACCAGTTCTGGTTTTACACCGGCTGATGAGCAGTGGCTTTATTTACCTGTTCCAATCTCCGCGATTCTGTGTCTTTCCTCTGTTAGCTTTAACATGTCATAATAGATTATAATATCACGTAACTTATATACTTAAAATAATTTTTATTTTACTTGTTCAGTTCAAAAAAAATCAAGAAAGATCTTTAATCCCTGATCAATTAATCTTAATAAGAATGAACCTCTTTGGAAGGGCTATAAACATCGAAGGTAGTCGTCTTAATAACGGCGCGGATTTATTAGCTGCGACGGCTGCACAGCACTTGGCAGGGCACGCAGGCCTGCGAAATTTGGATGGAGGTGAGATAGGGGTGAGCTGGAGGGGACGGTTCTGTACTAACAATAAGGGACGTGGATGCGTGGCCGAGACAGGTCCAGGCCATTGTATCTTCAGCACAATGCCTATAGCTGGGGAGCAGTATGCGCGCCATAATAATCTGTCACCCCGTATAGCACCGATGCGTATGCCGCATAATACGCGCCCTCCGGCTGGGAGAGAAAGAGAGACAGAGAGAGAGAGAGAGAAAGCGAAGGGGATTCGCCGCACCCCAGCCATCGTTTCTGCAACGAGTGACGTCGCTTTAGTATAAACTCGCTAGGGAAGAGTAGCCAACAGATAGCGAGGCAAGTGTACGTGTGTACATTTTATGTATAGGTACGCAGTCTTATTACAAAACATAATTTTGTTGAAATGATCATACTGAAAAAGAAAGAGTGACAAACTTATGTAACGGACAATTGTATTTTTAGATTGATATTCTCTCTGATGCGAACATATCATTGATGAGCTTTTGTGTGTCTAAAAAGTTATCGAGAATAATTTTTATAATGATACACGGAAAGAATTTTTTTTTAATTTACCCTGCAAATCATGTTAATTGTGGGACAATATATAGTATTTAGGCAAATGTTACTGTGCACTATAATAAATTTTACAGTAGTAAAATACAGTAAAATTTATTGTAGTGCACAGTAAAATTTGCCTAAATACTATATTGTCCCACAATTAACATGATTTTCAGGGTAAATTAAAAAAAAAATTCTCTCCGTGTATGAACTTTGGCAAATTAATCTTTAAGAGCACTGTTAAACAATAAGAACTTCTTCACTATTAATTTACCTTATACTAGAATAAAAATTGTTATTAAACTTAAAATTATATTCAATTTTAGTTCTGATTTTGGTAATGTAGCGAAATAGACGAAAACAATAAACTTTTAATTTTTTTTACGTTCTCCAACATCCGCGAATCGGGACGTTGATGCGCTAAAGTCGAAGAATGAAAAGAAGGAAGCACAGATGACGCGCAATCGCTGCCTCGATGTGTGCCGAACGTTATATGGTATTAGGAAGGTGAACCCTTGAATTAGGGCAGTTGGCAAATATCCAGATTAGGGGGCCACCACGCGAATTTCGTTGAAAGTCGATTATTTCGGACAGTTCGTGCGGGGTTTTGAATTTGTCCAGCAAAAAAAAATATTACTAATACATTTGATTTTTAGTAACAATGTAATCAACAATTTCACAATTATTTCACTTAATTTACTGGAAATTATCATTAACAATTTAAGTAAAATTTATTATTCATACAGATACCATCGATATACCATCGGTACTTTTATCAACAAAATCCCCGATTGATAATAAAGATTGCAAACGAAATTAATTCTGATCTAACAATCTTTTGTATGATTTCTCACGAAATTTCATCAACTGATTTTTACCGAATTCATTCTGACGCAAATCGTGTTGTGAAGACGGTAAAATACCTCCTGGTCGTATACGCGAGATATCAGGTTGGCAAATTAGGTTTAAATATTTCTGCAAGACATTATGTGTTTCGACAAGTTGCAGGTGCACCCGAGTAGCGCGCGCGACATAATTATACCTGCAATTTGGATACATTGCGGTTCAGTATACCTACTCAATTTCTCAATTCTTTCATTCTGCACACTTTGGTTTCGCTGTATAAATATAACGCGTATATTGATTCAATTATGTATTTATCCTTTATTCATCAGGTTTATTGTATGATTTAAATTATTATTATTATTTATATCTAAAACAAGTAAGAAAGTAAATCGGTACGTAAATAGTCCATTATTTTACGGCAACACTGCTGCAAAATTAATTGCTTAATCCCAAAGAGAGACACGTGGCAATTTCCCGCCACCCCTGTCTGTACATTCATTCATCACCATCGTCTATCATAACGCATTACTTCAATAAATGAAGTTGATCTCTCGCGACCGCCCCTCGACGTCCACCGTATCGCGAACGAATAATCCAGCTCGATGTGTCAGACGCACGCTATGCACGTACGTGTCTTCGTATGTACGCATGTACATTGCCTCGCTCGTGCGAGCGCGCGCGCATAAGAAACGTAACACGCTTAAAAAGAAGGGTATGACGTCACACGCGAGGTGGTGGCACACGGCGCGTGCCGCCAGTTTCGTAGATGGGGTACGAATTATCGTGGCGCTCACGGTGGAGGGGCCAGGAAAGAACGACGACAGGGACGATCGCGAGCTGTGCCACACAGTGGACGTGGGGCGCGGGAAAGTAGGAAGGGGGGTGCAGGCAGGGGGCAGGCGCCCCGAGGTGTCCGCTAGCAGGCAGCTAAGCGAGGGAGCGAGCGAGCGAGCAGACCGGCAGGCAAGAAGTCCGCACGAGTGGTTAGGGTGTCGTACAGGGGCTACGTGCGCAGTGGTGGGGGTGGACGCGTGCAGCCGGCCTGCAGCTGCCTTCTCGCGTTGCCCCCTTTTCCCTTCGGCGTGGCGCGGCGCGGCGGCCCGCTGCCGCGCTCCCTCCCTCCCGCCCGTACGGTCCCCGCGCGCCCCTCTGGCCCGCGCATCGCGCCACCGGCGCAGCCGCTACCCATCACCCCTCTGATTCGGTCGGTCGCGGGCACAACCCCTCTCGCCTGCTGGGCCGAGGGGGGAACCGACGGGACCACAATTATAAGTAGGGGTGCACCCGGCCTTGCTACCTCCAGTCGAGGGCTGTACTCTGTGACGAGCACGCGCGCGCGCGCGGACCACTCGTCGCTCACCCCGTACACACACACATACACACACGTCACGCACAGGGCGCACGCATGTGAAGGAAAACGCATATACATATATATATATTTTCGCGCGGGAGTAGTTCCCGCTGCTGAGCGCGAGAGAGAGAGAGAGAGAGATAGTTTTATGAGAGGGTGAGAGAAGGACGGATGTACACTGCAAATCTCTCTTTCTCTTTGGAGAGGGAAGCAGGGGCGAGCGCGTACGAGAGATCGCCATCTGTCGTCGAACCCGCGCCGATACAGTTGCCTCCGCGGTTACCGGTGGTTGCCTCGAGTGCCGCGGTGTGGCGTTAGTGCGGCCGGTCAGTGGCGCGACACGCGCGTATATATATGGTGGTGAGGAAAAAAAAGGAGGTGAACGTACATCTTCGGCGAAAAGAGAGTGAGAGGGGGATAGAGACAGGAGTGAGACAACAACGGGGTGTGGAGAGAGGGGAAGGATAGGAAACGGAAAGGGGACGATTCACCGTGTGGAGAAGAACAGCGGTGTAACTTTGCGTCAGCGTGTGCGCGCGTATGCGTCGCGCGCGCGGTGCATCCCTTCTGAACTTTGATACTTTCGCGTCGCCGATTCGCCGCCAAGGGCCAGGCGCAGTTCATCGGCTTGCGACAAACAGTATTAGTTCGAGTAGTTCAACCGCGAACCGGTGTTTCTCGCCGCCGCCGGTATCCTTTCGTCCGCGACGTCCGCGAAATCTTTACTCCTCGCCCTATACCCTGTTCATCCGGCCCTTTTCTCCCCCTTCCCAACCCGGGCGGTACAGAGGAGAAGGGAGGCCCCTTCTCGCCCTTCCGCCGCAAGACGGGCGCATTGACTCTCCTCGTTCATCTTCGACTCGTCATACCACACACACACACATACACGCACACGAACCGTGTGCGGGCATCCTTGGCTCTACCACGAACGGCGGCTGCCCCACCATCAGACCCTCTCGTGCCCCCCTCTTTTTCTCTCCCGTCGGCCCTACTTCGGCGCCCTTCTCCGTTACGGCGCTGCCGCCGATCGCCGAGGGAGTATTCCTCGCGGCGCGACCACGGCCGATCAGTGCGTGACTCGTCGTTGTTGCGGCGATTGACGAGGACGAGAACGTTGTAATTTGTCGTTCCGGCGTCCGTCAAGTGCTCTCCCTTGCTGGCTTTGGGAAGTATGATCGCGACGGGTTGATTGTGACTCGTATACAAAAGAAAAGGGGGAGAAAGAAGCGAGAAGAGATCCACAACGATCATCGGTGAAAAAGAAAGAGAGAGGATCCTTGACTTCGTTACACCACCTAGATTATACGCGGACGCGAAGATCGTCGTTCCCTCCCGGCGAGCGTCCCTCTCAGCGTTCGTCGTCCCACGGATATACTGGAATAAAGTGTGTCAACAGCAAGTGTGTAAAAAAGTGAAAACCTGCGTGCGATATAAAATCTCGTTCTCGTACGTCTGCTGGCCAAGTAAATCGTATATTCGCGTGCGCGTGTACGGAGTGCACAGTGGTAAACGAGTTGAATTCAACCGCGATTTCGCACGGTGCGAGTATACCACTCGGCATTCGCGCGCTCCTTCGTTTGTTCCGTTCATTCGTTCGTTCGTTCGCGCGTTCGTCCGTCGATTCGCACGGGCGACGGCTCGCATACATCGAGAGCGTACACCGGCACGCGGTTCGTGGCTATGCAGCAGCCCCGCGGTACCGCAGCGGCGAGACGCAGGTAACGCCGACGGGAAGACGCGACGACACGAGCAGCAGAGCGCGCGCGGATTGCCGCTCTCACATCCGCGCTTCCGCCGCCTTTCGGGGAAGCGCCGGCGGCGTGTAAACACCGAGGGATACGCGACGCGTCAACATGTGGACCACGATGCTCGTGTGGACGGCCGTCGTCGTTCTCCTGCCGACGCCTCGAGCGGTAAGTCCCTGATATCCTACGATTATATTCCTTCCTCTTCCGTGTCTCGCCACTCGCGTCCGCCTTGCCGTCGGCGTCGGCGAGCACACTTAAAATCCGTAACTCGGCGACGTTCAAGCGGGTTCAACCGCGTGGCGCGCGCCCGGACTTTAGTTTCCGTAGACATTAGTTGGATTAATTCAAGGTTTATACGATTCCTCGTTTTTTTTTTTCGACGGTAAGATCTAAAGAATGTTCGAATCTAGTAGTCGCTGAGAAACGATATATTTGAGAGACATTAATGTCACCGCTATTATCTGGTGCCAAGGCTGCCGTAAAATACGAGATGTGTACACACACACACACCACGCGTACAGCCGACGATCTGATTCCCGGAAATGACACGAATACGCGCGCTCCTCGAAATTACATCGTTGTGTACAAATGAAGGGATTATCCGTAAACTTCGAACGATAGTCGTCATAATACATAGTCGTCACGTGTTATTGTAATTACTAGGGAGGGATTTGTCAACTTGTGTCGGCACTCGAGTTGCCGACCTTGGAGTCATCGCGATTCGATGAATGAGTTTGGCACGACAATGTTCGGCATCCGAACCAAGCATCTCGTATGCAGGTATACACGCCACATCTCAACTCGTAGAGAGACATCGGGCATTGTTGTATTTATTAATATAACGTGGGAAAAGGGAAGGCGCCTCGCAAGATGCGAAAGATCGGAATAGACTCGACGTAATCGGCTCACGTTTCATAACGATCCATAATACGTTCGAGACTCGGATCTTATACTTGCGTAATTGTGATTCTAAGAGATACAACGCGATTAAAATCGCCCGATAAATATCTGTACGTAATCCCCCTGTCCAACGTCATAATAAAAATGACATGAAGAAAGCTTTTGCGATATCGCAGTGATATCTCGCCGAATTTTTATTCTTCAATATTTAATCTTGATTCACTAACTCCGTGCTAATGATGAATGACAGCTTACTCTCTGATTACCGCAAGTTTAAATTTTTACAAATCGAATCAATTCAAATTGGTTCCGAACGTGATATATGAGACGAAATAATCCGACGAATGAATCGGTCGATTATCGGCGCGAGAAACGCTTTTCTCACGACTCTGACTTTTTTTTGCCGCGTGAAAATAAAGTGTTAAGTTTCTCGGTTTATTTAGTTACAAATTATCGCGATCGTGCGTCTCTCGTATTTGTCAAGCTTCTCGCGTTTGACAGTCGCGGAATTGAGCACCGACTTTCCTTTTTTCTTGCTTTCCTTCTTTAGTACTTCGCAATTCCAGTATCTTTTTTTTTTTATGTTACATCGCCTCTCTCAAACGACCGATTCCGAATGCGACGAGCGATGCATTTCGCGTATTATACGGCCCGTTTCTTCTCTCGGTTTCTTCTCTCCGCACGGATTCCGAGGGAATTCTTCCTGGGAGAGATGTCTCCCCCGGCTTCCCCCTTCCCTTCCCCCCCATTCCTTGTACGTTCTTTCTGTCTACGATCCTTTGCGTTCGTGAGCTCGACTACCTTCGTGCTTATCTCTTGGCTTACAGCTTTTGTGTGCTGTACAGCAAAATACGCGAAACTGACTTTGCCTTTAGAATCAATTTCTGTAACGTAATCAACAACTTACACGTGCTATTATTAATTGTCACAGACTAGTAACTATATGCAGTATCGATAGTGTCGTATTTATATTCGATGATCGGTTATTCTCTATATCTTTTCCTTTTTTATTTACTGCTATTTTTCTATTTTAGTTGACAAGTTGATTAATTTTATCGTCAAGAAATTATTGATTATTGATACTATACGCTGTTCTCGTGGTATACACTTTTTCGAGGGATTTATTTTCTAAGATTCTCTTTCACCATTCGAAGAGTTTCTGTTACTATCCGAAGGAGTTCCTAACAGCGTATTCGGCGGTGCACCCAACTCTAAATCTGGATGCACTCTTTTAGAAGTGTCTAGCCCCGCTCTCTCCCTCTCCCTCTATATTCGTTTTCTCTCTCTCTCTCTCTCTCTTTCTCTCTCTTTCTCCCCGATGTTGTGCTTAGCGATGATCTCAAATCGTGTTAGACTCGTCCCTCGATCGCTTCTATTTTCGATCTTCGCGGAAGATCTATACGAGAATCCTGTCGATTGTTGGCGAGAGTAGAGTCCTTTGTTGTCCGGGTTGGCGAGGTTGTATGTGTGTGTGCATCGAATGTCGCGATCGCAGCCTCCTCAAGGAGAGACACGCCTCAAAGACGTCTGAAGGGTGGTTCGGACGGCGAAAATCGCGTTTTGTGTGTGACGAAACGCATCGTCGGTGCCGTGTGTATCCGTAAATACGCGTGGCGGCCATTCTCCGTTCCAAGAATAACTTTCCAGCGCGCCAAAAATGAGATTCCTCATCGTGAGGGCAGCGTCGAGGTGCGTGAGGTATATGTGTGAGCGTGCACGATGTGCGTACGGCTTGCTCGTTTAATCGTTTACTTTCGTGAGATGCAGACTAACGGGACGGATCGCGACGAGTCGCCGTGGCGAGTGCAATTGCATCGAGTGTCCGGCTTCAAACGCAGTGCGCGATAGTGATTGGCAACAAACTTCTTTCTTATCGCTAAGAGCGCTTGTCTGACACCGAACACGACGTTTGTGTTTAAGTAAATAAAGCCAGAGATCAGGTAGCCACATTTTGCATTGAACGCTACGGTAAATACGTATAAATGTATTATTCATTCTTTTGTTTTAAAAATAGCTGATCGCCGCGAGAGTTGTTCGGTTGCTCCGCGGTACAGTCTGTATCCGTGAATGAACATTTATTTTTATCTCACGAGGTCGTGTAGAACGTCTTATTTTCCGAACTTGGCGTGATGGGATCTTTGTTTCGATCGCGACTGTACAATATCAAATGCGCATGAAATATACATGTGAAAGAATTTTTTTTATTCGGCGGTACTATATCCATATATCAACATGTCAGCTGATTTAACTACTTGGCGCGCGCGCGCGATTATACCGCGCTTACTCCACTTCCCGATGGACGGATCACGATGTTGCTAATGGTGTGCGTAATCGATGCGTGCGAGATACGCGATCGCGAGACTATGGGAGTTCGATAAAGGAAATCTAATGCCGCGAGCTTGTCGGACCTCGGTAAAGAACTTACCGTTCGCTCTCGGCTATACAATATCTCGTGGGAAGCTCCGTTCAGACGTGCATTCGTGTGCGCTCTCATGTATACGTAACGCACACTGATCACCGTGTCTGCGAACACAACGTTCTCGGCGTCGCGACGACCGAAGGATAGGAAAAATGAGAGACTCGTGTCTGACGTTGGCACTGTTTACACGACATATCGCGACGATATTGATGTATCGAAGGAATCGTTAAACCTTGGCTAACGCGCTTTTTCTTCCTCCAGCAATTATTCCTTTGCTACTCTATTGCTTGTTTTTATATTAGATAATAATGACAATGCAAAAATAGAAGGCTGTATCTCACGCTCGATCGTAAGGTAATTTGACAGCGTGAAGATTGCGCTAGTTAATCACCGAGGCTAAATTTTACACATCGCCGAAAAATGCGCTAATCGACTCGCCGTTTTTCGCTTTGCGCTTCGAGAGCCGGGTCTCCACTCGGTAATTTCGTTAAGCAGCGCTTCGCGAGCCAACTAGAGCGTTGATGCATTTACGAGCTTGGTCGGCCGGCCTCTTTTTGCAGGCAGTTTGCATCCACATGTTTCAAAAAGGAATATCCGTCGGCTTTAATAATAGCGCTCTGGCAGTTCGTCAAGTGGCAAAGAACAATTTTCATTTTGAGCGTCTTTTTTTTACTTGGCAAAATGATATCTGAATTTATATAAATATAAGAAAGATACATTTGTGTATGTGTGTGCATGAGAGAGAAAAAATAGATTTTGCTATCAATGTTACATTAATATCTTGTAAAAACTTTAAGATTTTAATAACGATCCATTTTGAGCGCTTGAAAAGTCACACCGGTCGCTAGATTTTCTAAAGACAGAGCGAGAGGGATACGGCCAACCAAACTAAACTCGCCTTCATTCGACGCAGACAAAAACTAAAATCGTCGAATCTGCGGTAAATCGTAGCGTATTTTCGTAATTCGATTATAATGGCGAAGCGCGCGTGGCGGCGAAGGGTAAGCCTCTCCGGGATACGTTCTCGCGCAACGAGCGAGCGAGAGAGGACGCGCAGTTTTTGTCGTACCAACTCGCTTCTCTCCTCCTGGGAGACGTGCGTGACACGCGTTCGCAAAAACGTGCGCGCACACGTGCTCCTGCGGCGTTTCACATCATGGGGCACGAGACGACATCCCCCGTCTCGCGGATGAACAGAAGGAGAGAGCTTCGTTTGATATCGAGGTCTTTTTTTTTTCGTGTGTCTTATGATTCGCTGCCAACTGTGGACCAGAGATCCACCATTATTAAAAACATTTTTACGATTGCACGCGTTACAGCTGTTAAAAAGACTGTCAGAGTGCTCCGTCATATTTATCCCCCTCCTTCCGAAGAACGATTTTTTTGTGATTTTCAATTTAGAATTTATATTTATCAAAAATTTGACAGGCTTCGTATTTTAATGTTTGCAAATTTTTAGTCCTTTCTATTCATATATCTTTTACGTAAACCATAAATCCTCGATTTTTAATATGTAATTGTGAAACAATTTTTATTTGACGTAAATAGAAAAACGAATTTTTTAAAAATCGATATTCGGTGATTATTACAATTTTAAATATCATGTTTTTTAATTTCAATTTAAATCTTTAATATTCACAGACACATTTTGCTACTAGCTTTAGAAAATTTCGTGTGTTGATGAGCACCGATTCAATTTGCGTGTACGTTCTCGAAGAAATAAAACGCATGTGTTTTACAGGTGAGCGCCTCGGGGGTGTTCGAGCTGAGGCTAAAGTCCTTCGTGAACGAGTTCGGCAAGGACAGCCTGGGCAAGTGCTGTTCCGGCAGTGCGTCCAAGACAGGCGAGTGCTCGGGGGTCTGTAAGACCAAGTTTCGGATCTGCCTGAAGCAATACCAGGTGAAGATCGACACGCTGTCGAAGTGCACGTATGGCGACGTTTCGACGCCCATTCTCGGTGAGAACAGGATTAATTTCAGCCCAAACATCCATTTTTCGAACTTCACCAACCCCATGAGGTTCCCATTCGAGTTCACATGGCCGGTAAGTCTTTTTTTTTTTTTACGTTTTAGATTATACCACGTTTATTATTTTCGCGATTTGTTTTAGAATGACTTCGAGTGTTAGTAAATAAAGCTTCCAATATAACCGAATAACAAGATTATACATATGTCTCGGTTATCAATGGAAATATATTTGAAAATTTTATGATTTTTAATACTCGAAAAATTAAGATGCTATTTTGATTACTCAGCAAATTTTTTATTGGGAGAAAGTATCAAGCTTTCTATGATGTATATAGTTGTAGCAAAACACCTTGCGTGCCTAATAATAGCATAGAACATCGTGCTCTTATGCGTAGGATAAGTCCAAAGGGAAATATCATTGTCGAATTATACGCGATAATTTATAAACTTTCGTGAGAAACGACACGCGTCGATATACATGACACTCAGCAATGATGTCTCGCGATAGGCTTACGAGAGGCGTGCATACTGGAGATTTTTTTGCCAGAGTCCCTGATTAGCATAAACGTTTCGATGTGGGAAGTAAGAAATGTTGACGACCGTGTGGTGAGATAGTTAACCAGTATACAGTGTTCTATATAACATCGCACCGGCGGCGATGTATAGCTTACAGTTACAAAAAGCGATTGAAAACTATATATTATACGTATCGCTTGTGTAACGTTATACGCCGCGTTCTTCCCCGCGTGTCCACATTCGCTAAATATCTCTGACGCGTTATACAATTAAAGGACAGCTTCGAAGGTTTCTTTCAGTCATTAGTAATACATTTTTTTTTTTTAGCAAGTATAAATAGTTTCGTAATGATTTATTATATAAAACACGTTGTTTCGTAATTGATTAAGTGCGTTACTGACCTAATGAATGAAAAAAAATGTATAGCGGTTATCGAAATTAGACTGCAGAGCGTAAAAACGGGGCGCGTACTTGGCTACGTGGAAAAGAACAATGTTTTCGTCCGTTCATCTAACTAATCACGGATGCTAATCGAACGAGTGCATTATCTAACTCATTTCCAGCAGAACGAGACCAAGATAAGAAACACGCGGAATTCGCGTGCGAGGATCACGGGGTAATTATTATTATACACGCGAGAGATCTTGAGTTAACGTGTGGACAAAGTCGAAGTCACCGCCCTTTGTAATACACGTCGCGCGATGCTATCTCGCGCGGAAAACACAATCGCTCAGCCCGCTAACGCTCTCGTCTCGCATAACCGACCAATTAATTTGCACGGAAGTCGTTTGCGAGTTTCGCATGCGCGACTGAAAACCTGTTCGGTTTGTAATTTCTGAAAGTCGTATCACACGTATCGAGATTGCTATTGCAATATCGGCGGTGCGATCCGTTATATGGGAATGATGATTAACTATGTCTTGAAAGTCTGGGTGTGAGTATCATTTGAAAAATGATAGGAGTTTCATTTATAGAGATTTCACGATATGAATTTTTAAATATGCGAGCGGGTTTAAAATACGTTTGCGTGCGGTGTTTACAACTCGAAACGGCTGGTCACCCTAAGCGATGTAATTTCGATGCGCGTGCGATATATGTGGGAAGTGCGTGCGCATCGTGGTGTAGTCGTCGAGTAGTAGTTGAGGGAGACGCGTTGCACGCGTCGCCGGACGCGTTGCATTTGCAACAGGTCGGTAGCGGCGGTTGTTCTAGTTCGCAACGACTCTTTGATTTCTGCCTCGCTTGACGCGCGGCAATTAACGAAAAGGGGGAAACGCGCTTTTTCTCCATTCTTTCTCTCGCGTGTGCAAACTGATTTCTGCCTCGCGGTCGCTGTAAACGTGCAGGATCGACGCACTCTCTCGCATCTGCTTTTTCCCTTCCTACTCTCGCGCGCACATTGCAACGAGATCGTTGTGGCGTACGGACAGGTTGATTGTGTTAAAGGAATGAGAGAGAAAGAGAGAAAAACACAGAACGCGTGTATAGGGGTTGCGTTTGCATGGCACGTACGACGCGTGCTGCCGATGTCGCTTGCACGCGTGCATGCGCACGCAGCCGTCGGTGCAACCAAATGAAAGAGCGAGATAGCGAGGGCAAGAGATAGATAGAAAGGGCCGGGGGGGGGGAGAGGGAAAGAGAGTTGGCAGATGCCGCGCAGAAAGAGAGAAAAAAAGGGAAAGAGAGAGAACAACGGGAGAGTAGCACTTGTCTTTCCCTCCTGCTGTTGTTGATGCTGTTACTGTGATGTTTTGGCTCTCATAGGCGTCGAAATTTAAATGCGGATAGAAGTAGACAGATATAATCGATAAAAGTCGAATCGCGAACGGCAAAACATCAGACAATTATCATTTCGATATCAGAATGTAAATTATCTATGATTTTCTTATCTTTGATATTATATATCGCTAAAGAGATAAAAAAATCGATGTTACATATTAAGCGAGAAAGGATATTCATTATACAATTTTGTGATGAAATTATATAAAAAATTATATTAATTATATAGAGGTTCTCAAGGTATGTGTGATGTAACGTAGTTTATATAATCTATGAAATATTTATTTAGTTCAATTTACAAGGCTTCAATTAATCTTGTAAGTCTTGTAACTATCTGAGTTCACACTCAGAATTTAAGCTCTATACGTATTTTCGATATCAATTGATTCAATAAAATTTCTTTACGTTTTCTTTACGAATGGGTCGGCTTACTGAAATTACGCGCCAATGTACAGCATCCTTGGGCATACGTCAATCCTCTCATATCCTCTCGTATCGGTGCTCGCGCATTTCTGACTATGAAACCGCCGCAGTTCTGCAGGGCCGCCGCCGTCGCCACCGCGCCGGCAGCAGATGGCCGGGGCCTCTTGCGCCTCTGCACACTTCCCACGTACTCTGTCTTCGCTCTGTCTCTCTCTCGCTGTCCTCTCTCTCGCCCTCCATGGCTTTCTCGTGAGCAGAGTTAAATTTACTAACCCATATGGCACCCCTCGCGCCTCTAACGAGCCCTTCTCTCTCTTTCTCTCTCTCTCTCTCTCTCTCTCTCTCTCTTTTGCATTGACCGTTTTTCTTGTTCTCCATCTTTTCACTCGTGCTCTCTTTACTTTTTTTTATTCTTTATTTAATTCTATACCTTTTAATTTAGCTCTCTTTGTTCTTTTCTATTAGTTTCTAAAGGACAAAGCCGTGACAAATTTACATATTTTTTTAAGCATCAACTTTCTTTGCAGATTATATTTATAATAAAATACATTGTGTGTGAATCCTGTCGGTTGTGCCTACTTGAGCCGAAGGCGAAATAAATTCACTTTCTCTTTCTCTTTCCCGTGTGTACCCGGATGGTACAGGCACGTGCGTTCTTCGACATTTACCACCACCGGTTGAACCCGCAGCCCGGCGGCTGATAGGATTATCGCGCGATTCACCGATGTCGAAATTATCCCGAGAGCAGTTGCCGATATTGTACTCGGCATCTGCTTTGATGTAGTAGGATCAAACGAAGTCAGTAGCGGGCCTCGGTTTCTCGGAAGACACTGTCACAATTCCGCGGAGAACTTTCGGCGCAGCGGTTCCTGACCGATTTCTGGCCGACGCTCGTGCCGGATATCGTCGGCTTCGCGTTTAGCGTGTCGGCGAAATAGCTCGAAACCGACGTAAGTCGTAATCGCTATTTGGAGTACTCGATTTATTTTCGTAGCTTCAAAAGCGAGAGGCGTTTTAACTACATTCTAACTTTCGTATCGTATAAGATCAGCTTCGCATAAAGAAAATTGAGAAAAGAAGCGATGGGGAAAAGATTAACTCAATTTTAAATTGAGCAACGAGTATTTGATTTGATTAATGTACACACACATATGCATGTTCTTACACACTAATGACTTGTTTCTTGTTTTTTTAATTTCACAGTATCATGACAAATAAGTTGCATAAACGGTTTGCGTTTACACGCCACGATATAACGAAGGACGGTGAAAAAGTGAATTAACTCGTTGTTGCGGCTGATTACGGCCGAGTTCGCAATTAGTAAATTGACTCGCGACTCGTACGCGCGAGCATTGGACGAGCGAGAGCCGATAAAATAGCACTATAAATAACAGTTACGTGCAATGCGCGTAAATCACTTCCGTGCGGTGTGCGACCGAGATGCGCGAATTAATGGCCTTTCCATCACAACCGGACAGGTTCATTAAATGTCCGGCCGTAATTAGCAACACGATTCGATGAAATTGGAGAATGAGCTTTGCGATTTATTAAAAATAAACGTTTCATCGTTTTCACCTAAAATTATTCTTTATAATTCATTTTTCATTAACGAAATTAATTAATGTGTAGTAAAAATTCCCCCCCAAAAAACTTCGTCAAAGCTTTTTTTTTAGCTAATTGCTGAATCTGCAATCTCATTAAAGAAGCAATTTTTCTTTATATTTATTCCGTAAATTATTTCTCGATGGACGCCTTGAGGAATGCCTGTGGTATGTCATTCGGCGGCATGCGTCGTTTCGATACGTAATCGTAACCTTCGCAAACGCTGCAATCTCTTAATGCGTGCGTGCGCCCGTGCATGCGTGCCGCGGACTCTTATGCGCGCGCCTTAATTGGCTTTACGTTCGTGTACACGAGCCGCCTTATTAAAACAGCACGAGGCGACTAGCGACAGTGCGGCTACTGTGCTCGATCGTTGCGCACGCTTCTCGCGAGTGAGCGCACCGTCGCGTCGCTCGCGGGGCGCGCGGTACGTTATGCGATTTTCCGCGCGCACTCCGCGCTAATGGCACGCGCGCGCGCTCGCTCGCTCGCTCGCTCTCGCTTCATTCTTTTCCCGCTTTCGTTATGTCGCCTGGGAATTCCGCCGTCCACGTCGTGCCATTCTATTTTTAGCCGATCACCGTAACTTCCTTCCGCGATAAATCTCACGCATTATCGTAAAGGTAGATATTGACGTTAGAGGAATACTGAAGTACACACTTAGTTATCGATACTTGTCTCGTACCGCTGGCATCAATTAAGAAAATAGTCGAAGAAAATCGCAATTACTGCAGATTAACAGAAATAACATAAGAA